CCCCCCCCTCTCCGCCTGAACGGTATATGCCCCAAGGGATGCACTCCTTCTTAGGGATACGCTCGAGTTAGCCGAGTTACTATTTGACCAAAAGGGAGAATCCTTGACGAACGAAATCTTAGAGTGAGACCTGGTGACTGTCACCACGTCCTAAATGGGGTGCCCTGCCCCCCTCCCCCTCCCCCGAGCAACACCTACTGTTTGTCCTACTGTTTGTCCCCTTTAGCGTATCCGCTATGAGTTCGGTAGAAGTGGTGACTGAGTTGCCGCGGTTAGCTGTGGGTGTATACTTGAAGGACCAGACGGAGAATCTGTTGGCTGAAGACGGATGTGTAACCGTGTATGAAGGTGAACAGGTGCAGTTGGTGATAGAGTTGGCAAACCGTGAGTCAAGGTTAGATGTGGAATGCTTGAAATTCATAATCGCCGAAGAGGCACAGGCCGACGCCGAACGAATGGCGTTGCGATCCAAATGGACTGGCTGTTTCAGCAGCGAGTTCGAACGCTCTACATTGCTCTGGTCCGATGGGGTTACGCTGCTTGCTAACGATGACGACGACACAGACCTCGAACTCCCGGGCATAAAAGTCGGCGAAAGAGCCTCCTTCGTACTCACTCTCCCCGGCAGCAAACTTATATCCAATCTCGGCATCCAGTAACGACCTAATTATCTCACCACCTAATTACCTCACCACCACTTAATTACCTCACCACTTATTTTAGCCTAACATATACTGCCAAAGGACATAGCCATTGGCGCTATGAATCTTTATTATTACGTTTTGAATGTCATCGATCTCTATATGTTTCGTTACATCCATTTTGTTACGACGTGTCTGAATTTTGCGAGAAGTTACTAGTATATTTAGAAGTGGAGCATTTGCGTCCTCAGGACTCATTTGTATTTGAGATTGTTAAGGCAAAGGGAACTGGATCTTCGACGACGATTGTTAGGAGTCCATTGGGTAACAGTCCATTGGGTAACAGTCCATTGGGTAACAGTCCATTGGGTAACAGTCCATTGGGTAACAGTCCGTTGGGTAACAGTCCATTGGGTGAGAGAGGGGATGTAGTTGTGCGTTATGAGATACCAACGGAGGGTCAATTAACAAAGGTGCCATTATGTGTACCACGATCATGGATAAATAGTCGTGACCCTATTCAAAGTTTATGGCAGCGTATCATCAAGACCTATCGATTCCAATGGACATGTGGTTCAAAGAAAGGTACTGCCATCGTAACACCTATTCAATCAGGTGGTGACATGGGCACAAGTGCTGCATTCCTTAGTAGCGCCGGTACTGTAGGTCCTAGCGGACCCCAATTACTGCGATCTGCTAGCAGCTTCCGGAGGGCACTTACTGACATTTCACCCATCCCAGAATCCTGCATCGCCCAGCTTCAGGTTATTCTCTACGATGCAAATAAGAAACCCCGTGGACCACCCACTACACTAAATAAAAATCACCACGACTTGCCCTACAGCCCCCACTACCTCATTCTGCTCTTGCTGCACGATGCCGAACAAGCTGGACATCCCCCTCGTCCTGAATCTACTCAACGTCCAGACTTTCAACGTCCAGACTTTCAACGTCCTGACTTTCAACGTCCTGACTTTCAACGTCCTGACTTTCAACGTCCTGACTTTCAACGTCCTGACTTTCAACGTCCTGACTTTCAACGTCCTGACTTTCAACGTTCCGAGGTCGACAGTTTAGTCGAGAGTGGTACCCCACCAAACCCGGCGCTTGCGGGTCATACGAGAAAGAGAAGTGCACAGACCGCCAAGGGGAAGGTGAGCTACTCCCCCAACCATCGGGTTGTCGGCAACAATCAATTTACGACTCACTTGGCAGCTGCTGAAAATATTGACGAACGAGAGTTGGACACCAAGGACCAGGCTGACGCCCTTAGTACCTCATCCGAAAGGACAGCGGAAGTCGTCCGTACTTCTCTATTCATCAATGAGGGATGCGGTGGATTCCAGAGTGGTAATTTTCAGACTGGTAGTTCCCAGGCTCAATCTTGTTTCACTTTTTGCGGTTTAGTGCATGTGGTGAATACCCGGAAACTGGGTTCGAAACCAACTGTTGTTCACAAGGCGCTTATTTGCAGATTGCGAGAAGACCAGCTGTCCACGGCACAAGTTTCTTTCCATGCAGAACTCGGTAGCGGAGTGACAATTGGCCATTCCCCCATCACTCTGAATCTACAACCCAAGTCGAACTGATGGGAGGTCGCACGGTACTGGAACCAACGACTGGAGGTACTGGGGAAGGACCCGCCGGATCGAGTTCCTCCAGCGCGTGCTGCCTGACGGTTCGGAGAAGGATACTGTGAGATTGGCGGTCAGAGAGGCTTTCCGGTGTCCTTCTTCGTGAAGCTTCAGGAGGGATTTCGGGACATATACGTGAATGTCGGTGTCGGGTGACGACCTTTCTGCGCGCGGCATGGAAAACTTTGTTTGTTGAGATTGCACACGCGTGTGCTGGTAGAAAGCGCAGCAAATAAAAACCTCTCTCTACGTAGCGCAGTCCTTATAGCAAGCCGCGGACTTAAGTCGAGGAAGAAAGAGACTGATGTTTACTCATGAGTTACCTGTCCTGACGGAATTAATGGGCCAGGTATCCCTGCCGTCAGATGTTGTGCTGGGAGATCGCGGGCTATGCGACTTGGAGTTATTACTGAACGGTGGTTTCGCTCCATTAAACCGGTTCATGACGCTGAAGGATTATGGCAGCGTCATGGAGAATATGACTTTAGAAGACGGAACGACAGTGTTTCCTTTACCGGTTGTGTTGCCAGTGAGCGCTGACTTATGCCAGCCGATATCTGGCGATGCGCAGAACGGTGGCGGAGCGCAGAGCGGTGCAGTGGTTCATATACGGAACGATACGAATGCGTTATTGGCGGATTTGGAGGTCACGTCTATTTTTGTGCCGGACCTGGATAAGGAGTGTCGGTTGGTTTTGAATGAGCAGTTCCCTACAAGTCCGACACATCCTTATGCGATTTACTTGAAGAAGTTGCACCAAAATTGCTTCTACGTCGGCGGCCGTTTGGTGGAAAAGCACCCGATCGTGCACTTTGATTATTCGCGGTATCGACTGACTCCGACTCAAGCACGAGAGCGGTTGGCTGAACGCGGCTGGGCAGGTTCTACTGTCGGTTTCCAGACGCGGAATCCGATGCATCGTAGCCATTACGAGTTGACGGTTAATGCGCTACGCCAGGTGGAGGCGAAACTTGGCGGACGTGCGCATTTGATGATAACACCCGCGGTCGGTCCGACACAGCCAGGTGATGTCGACTACCGCATCCGTGTGCGGTGTTATGAGCGTATTCTCGCACACTATCGCGAAGAGCCGTTGTTGGTACTCTTGCCGTTGGCGATGCGTATGGCTGGACCTCGAGAAGCTCTATTACACGCGTTGGTCCGAAGGAACTATGGCTGCAGCTACTTCATTGTGGGTCGGGATCATGCCGGTCCGTCTTGCAAGACGCGTACAGGTGAGGCGTTCTACGATCCGTATGCGGCCCACGCCCTTTTGGAGAAGCATGCCGCCCGGATTGGGATTGAGCCAGTGTTCGGCAAGATGATGTGTTACTGCGGTCCTGAGCTGGGCTACTTGCAGCAAGACCAGGTACCAGCTGTGGGGCCGGATGGAACTGCCGTTCAAGTGCAGAACATCTCGGGCACCGAGTTCCGGCGTCTTTTGCAAAATAACGCGAGTGTGCCTGAGTGGTTCTGCTTTCCGGACGTCGTAGATGAACTACGGCTAGAGTACAAGGCACCGTATCTACGTGGACTATGCATCTACTTCACGGGACTGCCATGTGCTGGCAAGTCAACCTTGGCACAGGCTTTGAACGCCCTCTTGCTGGAGTCAAGACACGACCAACGAAAGGTCACCGTCTTAGATGCCGATGTCATCCGTACACATCTCAGCAAAGGACTTGGATTCAGTCGCGATGATCGTTCGCTAAACGTACGCCGCATAGGCTATGTAGCACATGAGATAGTCAAACATGGCGGCATCTGTTTAGTCGCTAACATCGCACCTTACAAGGATGACCGTAAGTACAATCGCCAACTCATCGAGTCTGGTGGCGGTACTTATGTCGAAGTATACGTTTCTACTCCCCTTGAAGTCTGCGAAAAACGTGACATAAAGCAGCTTTACAACAAAGCACGCGCAGGTGTTATCAAGCAGTTCACTGGCATCTCAGATCCCTACGAGGCTCCAGATGAACCCGACCTAATCATTAACAGTTCCAACAATCTCGCACAACGCGTCGCCCAAGTCCATCAATACCTACTCGAAAAGCAGCTCACCATATAAACCGGCCTGTAGCAAGTGAGACCGACCTCTCGACCACCGGTGAGAGACTGACCACCGGTGAGAGACTGACCACCGGTGAGAGACTGACCACCGGCGAGAGACCGACCACCGGTGAGAGACCGACCACCGGCGAGAGAGCGACCACCGGTGAGAGACCGACCACCGGTGAGAGACCGACCACCGGCGAGAGAGCGACCACCGGCGAGAGACCGACCACCGGCGGTGAGAGACCGACCACCGGCGGTGAGAGACCGACCACCGGCGGTGAGAGAGCGACCACCTCTCGACATCGGGTTGAACAATGAAGTTCGCTGCGTGCCCCTCCTGCTCCATCGTGATACTTTTCCACACATCTCTCACCCACCCTCTTCCACACCTGGCACCCCCGCTCGGCTAATTTTATCGAAATAACACCAGCGGAGGAAATTCTTGGACTCGGCTGCCATGGATGGCTCAGAGACTTACACTTACTCAATAACAATAAATAGCGTTCTGAAAAGATCCCGAAAATCCGATTCCCTATTTGCCTGGTGTTTGCCTTGTTAATAAAGAGGATTATTGCGCCGTCCCTGGGTGGTCGATCACCCATGAGAGGTCGGTCCTGATGGGAGGGAGCTTCTCCTGCAGCAGACGAATCGCAACACGGTAGCGTCTGTTACTAGCTCGTAACGATAAGAAAGGTTGCGCAGAATCGATGCTTGTCCCAGTGACATAGGGGCAAGCATCTGTTTCTGTACATGTCAAGTACCACCGGTGGTACTTGACGTACCACCGGTGCTTGACGAGCCCGCGCGCTGCATGTAAACCTGAATGCAGTGTCTTAAATATGACTGCTTGTCCATTAAAGGTTGACCTGGCCCCGGCCGAGCCGGTAGGGGGATCATGATTAGAGTTGGCTGCCGCGTTGGAGGCCGTCTTCGAGTCCCTCTTGTTCTATTGCGGCGGCGGTTCGACGCACACGGCCCCCGGTGACTTCTACGTACGCTTCGGCGGCCTTGGGCCCCTTGAGTCTTTCCGGACTTCGGCTCAAAGAGGTCTCCTGACGTTGTTTGGTTCCTATGCGGTAGAGCACACTCGGCCCCGGCTGGCTAGTGAACGACAAATCAATGGTTGGACTTGCAGTTCGACCCTCCAGTTGCTCCGAGGGCGACCCAACCAGGGAAGCCGGCCCAACCAGGGAAGCCGGCCCAACCAGGGAAGCCGACCCCGCCATAGAAGGCGGCCCAACCAGGGAAGCCAGCCCCGCCACAGAAGGCGGTGACCCGGCGTTGGAAGGGGACCCACCTTTACGAGGTGGCACCCTAGAAGGCGACTCCACGGAAGCTTCACTTTCCAACAACGAGCTAGTCTTAGAAGGGTCAACCAGTTGAATGGGGGCAGATGCGCGGTGGGCGCCAGGCACCCGATCCGGAATGAGTAGACCACTCAACGACTGCAACTGGGCAGGAACTGCACTCACAGCCCGAGGGGATACCAACTTGAACTCCCGCTGTGCCTTCTCACCAACCAGCGGCGAAACTATTGACGACGTGTCTAGGCTCCGATCTTGACTCCGATCTTGACTCCGATCTAGGCTCCGATCATGACTCCGATCTAGGCTCCGATCTAGGCTCCGATCTAGGCTCCGGTATTGACTAACTCCAGACGGTGAAGTACCCGGTCCGGATGAATCCTTCGTCGTAGCACTTCCGTTTTTCCGCACATCCTGGACCTCCAGCCGACAGGCATCTGAGGGTGTCACGACCCGAACGGGACCCACTCCCTACCAGCATTGGAGCGTGACGGAAAAGTCAGAACAGGCGAAAACACAAGAGTAACAGGAGAATCGAATGCAGAAGGAATCGGTAAACGTGAAAGGCGTATACAAGGACCGCCCCCTCTGACGGATAGTCAG